AAGTGACTTGACTTGTTTTCACTCGGACCAAATCGTATATATGATCTAAACAATTGAATGATGTCGGCAATATATATGGGAAAAACTACATAAATACACAATTTATTTTATCATATTTTTTAGAATTTCTTATCATTTGAAAAAATTACAAAAATTTCTACTCTCTATTATTCTCGGGTACATCACTTTATGGGATGTATCGGGATGTACGTGATGTATCAGGACGTTGAGTAATGTATCCGAAACCGAAACGAAATGAATTGGGACATTGAGCGATGTATCCGAAACCGAGACGCGATGTATATCGAGACGTTTGGGATGTATTCAGATTCCATCAAATGTAAGAGATTTTTGTAATTAAAAAAAGAAGTAAGAATAGGATATAATAATTAGCTTTTAACACTGTAATTTGTATAAAATTCTCATATATATATCACGACAAGAAGTGAGATTTATATTTTGTGACGATTTTATACTTGGGTGACTCCTTTAATCACCACAACAAGGGTTTTTGTGATACCACAATAATATTGCTATAAAGATAATAGTTGTAATGGTGACTATATTCAAGTGATCAAAAAAACGTTGAGGATTTTTCTACTTTCTATGGTGTCTTTAATCATCATAAAAAGTCATATTTCACTATTAAAAATACTAGAATTGCCGATAGAAAATGTCAAAATATTACGACCTCTGGTTGTTTAGATATCATGTGTGTGACCATTTCATCTAAAAATTTAAGTTATTAAAAACTTATTTGTATTAATTAATTATATTTCAACATTATTCAATTGTTAAAGATTGGTCGAGACACATGAAAATCAAAAGGCATGAAAGGAAAGAAAGATTTGGTGGGTTGAAAATTAGGAGCTCCAATTAATATATAGGCATAATACATAAATATGCCATTTAACTTGGCCTCAAATCACACTTATACCCTTCAACTTTAGGGGTGCACAAGTAGACACTTAAACTTGTATAAAGTTGAGCAAATAGACACACATGTCCTACATGACATCCTACATGTCATTTTTTGTCCTACGTGGTGTCCTACGTATATTGTGCCACGTAGGACTCATGTGTCTACTTGTTCAACTTTATATAAGTTTAAGTGTCTACTTGTGCATAGCCAAAGTTGAAGGACATAAACGTGAAATGAGGCCAAGTTAAAGGGCACATTTATGTATTATGCCTAATATATACTCCTAGATTTTATGCACGAGATATTTACTATACATATGTGTGACATAATGGAAGGTACATGATCACAAGTATGGAATCTTGCTTTATTTAATGATGAAGGGTTTTTTATTTGTCAAATTAAACTTCCCAAATCATATCCTTTAACATCAAGTTCCTTCAATCAAAAAGTAAAGAAACTACCAAATGGACAAGAGATTGAACGTCTCATAGCTCGATTTAAAGTTTATGGATTTTAAATTTACCACATTGAACGTCTCATAGCTAATTTTAATTATTGAATTTGCAGCTAAATACATTTATACATATTTAACAGATTTTCTAATACAGATATAAGGTCTAAGCAAAAAAAAGTTGGGTTTGTTTGAATCCATACCTAACAAATGGCAAAGGCAATATTTTTCACTAAGAAAGTTTAACATCTACTATATGAAAAGATTGACATTATATATATGTATAGTTTAACTTTTCAAGTATTCCGCTGATCTAACTTCTACTCGATACCTAATATTATAACTCCGCCCCGAAGAAAAAGCACTTGAGAGCGGAGGACATGCTTTGCCGAAAGAGAAAAAGGGAATGGATAGTGTAAAAGCTGGAAAGTCTGCTAAAAAAAAATTACTACTAGCTAGCTAAGTAATCCTACTTGCTTTGCTTTATTATTTTCACTAATTAATATTTACTTCTAATTAATAAGCATGGTTATAACTTATATATGTACTGTACTTTAAAATTTGTGTATGTTTAATTAACTGCAGAAAGTAAATATTATGAGTTGTAAAGATGAATTATAATGCAAGTAGACCACAAGGCCAGGCGACTTTATTAGGTCTGAGCCTTTGAGGTTGACTTATAAAGGAACTTTTAGTGTGTTTTTTTCACTACTTATAAATAATTAATCGATCTGGGTTGCGGTGAAGTGGTGGAACTGCTCCATTCTTAATCAGTGGTCTCGAGTTTAAGCCCTAAGTATAGAGAAAATTTTGTTAGAAGCGTCACCTCCGAATGACATACCCTGCAATGCACAATTCAAATTTAATCGGAGCTCTAATGCGGACTACGAACATTTGGAAAACAAAATAAAAAACAGCTAGCTTAACTATTATTCTGACAAAATATCTTTAAAAGGGAAAAGACAATAATAAGTGTGCGTGATGAAGAGATTTGGATTAAAGCTGTTTTGGATCATCAATGCCATATGCTTTGGATCAATAACCATCTAATAATATATATTTTTAAAAGCCTGTGATGTATGGCATGCAAATGACAACTAGCTTATCAGTTCGTTTACACCTTTTTTTTTGTCTAATGGTCCATATCTTTCCTTTTTGTTTGGACTTATATTATTAAAAAAAGTTTAATCTTAAACTAATGTTAGTGAATATTAAAGGTGGACAGTCTCATATTTGAGAGTTTTAAAATGAGTTAGAATCAAAAAATGGATCATGACTCAAAAGATTTTATTGAGTCATGATGAAATGGTGAACTTGGATTTAAATTATACTCTCTCTGTTTCAATTTATTTATCTGGTTTTAACTTGAAATAAAATTTAAGAAAGTAAAGAATTATTAATTCAATCAATCCAATTCAAAATAAATTTTTCATGTTTTCATATTTTTAAGAAATTTAATTACCTAACAAGTCAAAATATATTGTTTTTTTCTTCTTTATAGATGGGGAAAAGAAGTTTAAAAGTAGATTAGGAAGAAATTTCACATGAAAGCTATGTTTTTTATTGATCAAAATAAGCAATATTTCTCCAAATTGGTCCAAATTAACTTCCAGGTTTATATTACTTCATGTTTTTTCACAATTTCTCCGTAGGAATTTCCATCTTTTTATTTTTTTTGCTGATTAGAACCCACAATTTTAGAATTGGAAGTAGAAGATTTTACCAACTGAGCAACCCTTCTATTTGGGTTGGTTGGCCATGTTACAAATTCTAGGATAAAATGCTAAATTTGATATCTCTAGTTATCTAGGCAAATCGAAACCTGAAAAGTTCTTTAAAGATACCAATAAATAATTTCAGATTTTTCGTTTAAAGTTCTCACTTTGCTTTCATCTATATAATGTGTATAACTTGAGATCGTAAAGTTTCAACAATTTGTTAAAGAAGAAGAATGGATATAAGCTATGTTGCTCGGACTCTTCCAAAATGTCGACAGGTGCGTGTCGCGACAAATGTGTATCGTGACACGTGCGTGTCGGATCCTCCAAAAAGAGTGTATTTTTGAAGGATCCGACACGGGTACGACATTATTTTCGGAGAGTCCGAGCAACTTAGGATATAAGTCCGTTGCCAATGCTGGGCTAAGACCCAAAGCTTCATAAATATCTGGGCCTTAAAAAATATTGGGTAGGCCCAAATGCTTCACAAATATGAAATAGAGATAACTGGGCCTTGAGAGAGTGGTTACTGGGCTAAGAATCAATGGTCTATATTGTGATTCACTGATTTGTGCATTATTGTGGTGGGCTTGTGTCCCTCACCTTATAGCGCAAGTCATTATAGAGTCCTCAAATAGAAAAATTATGGAGAATAACAAACATTTAGCTTATATTGGGTATTATAGTTATAATTTAAGAAAATTGTAATTCGTGGCTATAGTTTTCTCAATTTTGCTATTCGCCTGATTGTACAAATTCAGAATTTTATATATGCTTACCCTAGTTATTTGTATACGGTTTCTGAAAAATTCATAATAAATTACCCTATTTGTTTATCGGCAAGCGAAATATACAAGCGGAGTTCTGAAAAATTCTTAAATGTATAAATACATAATTTGTATATACTTACCCTGTTTGTATATTCGCAAGTGAAATATACAAATTGTTGTCTTCTTAGCAAGCGCAATTATCAAAACTATAACTATAGAGTTTTATTATGTTTGCTATTTCTAGAGAATATCTCTTTAAAACATGAGGGATAATTATATAAAACTCTTCACAAATTGGGGGTAGGGGGAACATGGAAGGAAATTACAAAATGGGGGAATTGAACTCTCCAGAACAAAGTAAAAGTTCAGATAGTCAACCAATTAGGCTACTAAGATTTCTCGGTGTGGATGTTGAATTGTTGAAGTTCAAAAAACCAAAAACTTTTTTTTGATAAAACAAATTCAGGCACACATGTCATACATGCACAACGCGAGTTTTTTATCTCATAAATGGATCAACTTATTTAAGAAAAATCATACAACATGTATTTATTATAGGCCTAACAAACCTCACAACATTCCTTATAGACATCCCTGAACTTGTTTATACTTATTTGAGCCCCTCCCAATTAAGTTAGGATACGATTAGTAGTTTTTGTTTTTTTTTATCAATGATCATGTACAAAAATTGGGATATCAAACTTAGTTAAATTATACTTTTTATATATGAATAATCAAAGTGGACTGTTTTTTTTTAAAAAAAAAACAATGACGCTCCAACAAAATCAAATTCAAATAATTTAAAATGAAGAATACCGGAGGATAGGATACTATACACAGTTACACACCCGTTTCACATTTTAATTTACGTAACTTACGTAGGCATAACGTTCAAGAAGAAGAATATTTTTGAAATTTGTGTTTTTTAAAGTGTTGTCTTTTTTCTTTTTTCTTGCAATTATAATAAACTGAGAAATTTATAGTTAAATTGTTTTATAATATCATATTGTATCTCAACTTTTTGAATCAGACAAATATTATAATATTATAAGAAAGAAAGAATATCACATAAAACATAACTAAGAAAACATTAAACTAAACTTTGCAGATATATATATATATAATATATCTGAAACAAATTTACAAGCCAAAAAGGCAACAACTATGAATACCTTCCAGCCCAACAAAATAAAGATTTGAGAATAACTAAAAAGCAAATTTTAATAGTAAAATCTCTGGACTCTTCTTCACACCAAAAGTCCTCAACATGGATAAAAAGTTAGAGAGAGCAAACACACTTTTCACTCCAAAAAGGAGTTTATGCAAAATTTAAGAAGAGGTAAATACTCTTTAACTTGCACTCATAGCATTAACATGAAACCCTAAACTTAATTAATTTTCAAACTAAAGGATTTGTTGCTGATGATCCATAACAATTACCATTCATCAAACCCGTCCAAGATCCTAGGCCGCCATTACCAGAATAATACCCAAATGACGATTCTTTGTTGCCACCTAATTGATCATCATGCCATTCCAATGACAAAATTTTGGGATTTGGCTTCACATCAACTGCATTAATATTTTGTACTTCCTCATGATGATGATCTTCATATGGTAACAACATTCCAAAATTGTTCCCAATATTATCCATAGTACTCGTTATTCCAAATGGATAATTTGTGGCAACAATATTATTATCATGAACAAATCCAGTAGTACTACTATTACCACTCATCATCATCATTCCAATATTATTATTATCACAATTCCCAAGAAATAAATCTTGGTTTAATCTTGAATTAGTAGTAGTACTACTACTCCCCACTAAAGCCTCGTACTTACTTTCCATAAAATCAATAATTGGGGCTTGATTTTCTAGCATGAAATTACCATGATGCCCAAAGTTAGTACTACTCATGAAGTGATGAGGAAAGGGCATTTCTGGAATGTTGTTATTATTAGTAGTAGTAGTAGATAAAGGTGTACTTTCATTAGTATTAGTAGATGATTTTTTGGATGAAACTTTTTTGTTCTTGCGGCAGCCACCACCAACAGGGATGTTTCTTAACGTGCCGCCTTTAGTCCAGTACCTACGACAAGTCTTGCAGAAGTATCTAGGTTGAGTGAGACTGTAATTGTTGTAGTAACAGAATTTGGTATGGGTAGAGTCGCAACGAGGACATTTGATGGAATAGTCATGTGGTGGTCTTAGTCTTCTTTGATCTACTATTATGGGCCTTGAACATGTCATTAGATTGTTAATGTGATCACCACCAGATGGTGAAGAAGAAGAATCCATGCCTCCTCCTCCTGCTGCACAATCCTCGTGAATTGTGCCCTGACATAAATTAAACAAGTAAAGCATATATCAGTGTAGGGACATGATGTCAGAGTTAACTCTTATCAACTGTTCCATGGTACCCTTAAGGACATTCTTTTGTCCTCTATTTTCGTCTAGGTGACATTATTTGACTTCTTATAATTTTTTAAAAGTTATGACCTAATAAATCTTAGACAAGTGTATGACTATAAATAACAATTTCAGAGTTAAATTGTTTTCTATACAGACTAAAGATAAGAAAACGTGTGAGACGGGGTAAAAGATGTTCCAAACCAAAATTTAGAAGTCATGACAATGCTAGAGCCTAAAGTTGTAGCATTCCCAAGGGCCTACAAAGATTTTGTGAAGAATGATTTGTAGATTGCGTTGGACAATCATGGACGTTGCTCCCTTCATTTTCACTGATTTGACAATTTTTAATTGGACACAAATATTAAAGAAATAATGAACTTTTTTTTAATTATTTGTTAATGTTATCTTAAGTATATATATATATAGCAAGCATTTGTGTGGCAACAAGATATTATTTAACAGTACTTAAAAATAGAGAAATTTAAGTGTTAGAAGTTTCTCGTTTTTTCAGTAAAGAAATTTTATACATTTGTATGAATCTTGCTTGCTACATCTCCATCTGCTCGGAGGGAGCAGCTACTAATATAATCCTTAATTGAACTTTAAGAAAATAAATGTGCGATGGAATTGACTAAAATTCAACATACCTGTAACCAGTCAGATGAATCCATGCAAACTTGTAGAGAAGTAATCCCCATTAGTTCTTTTCAATTGCCAGAGCTATAGCTGCAATTTTTTTCTAAATGTAACACAACAGTTAATATTTGCTCAGTTTCTTCTTGCTTGCTTCGACTCTTTAAAATATTCTTATAAGTGGATTATAGACTTTAATTGGTAGTGAGAGAGAAGTATGTATTCAGCTGAATGAAAATGGGTGCTGAGATTGTGAATAAGAAGGAAGAAAAAGGCACCCCGTGGGGCCTGCTGTGGGGTGTACAACTTGCACCTCATTTGCTGTTTATTATTTCTTATTACTAATAAAATTACTTAATAATTAGAGCTTAAATTTCTTCATACTATACATCGTCGGTGACAACTATACCACTTTTTTTTTTTTTTATGACAAGGGAAATCCGCAGTTGCTATCCTTTGGGTGTGCACATGGTAAAACCCCGCTCCTATGCAATAGCTCGCAAACCACATAGGAGAGGTAAACCGCACTAGGCAAACCTGGTGCGACGAGCTCGACCCAGAAGGCAAATCCCTTGCTTTCGCTGGCAAGGGGTTTCGAACTTGAGACCTCCAACATGGAAGTCCCAAGCTCAAACCATTGGGCTACCCCGAAGGGTAATACCACTTTTCTTCAAGACACTAGTATATGTATTTAGTAATTACATTTCTTACGCTTCATACTCCTTAGACTAGACTTCATTTGTGAGATCAACGTACATTTTAGCTGAGGTTACATTAGAGAATTGCGATTGGACGGCTGAGATTTTGTTGATATTTAGTTGCGGGAATGTGAGCCGGTGATTCTGATACGATTTTTTTGTACGTCAGATGAGTCTATGTCTGACGTGACAAGTAGTTGGAGGGGAGAATATTTGGGTCGTCGATAAAGACCATATTTTGGGCCCACTTAGCAAAATGAGCGGATAAACCGAAAGAGCACTCCATTTGTGGACCCGCTTTTGAATGTGGGGTGAGACATTTATGGACCCCTTTCCTACTCTTCTTACAAGCAAGGTATAAATTCTATTATCAATGACGTGTCCACTCATCTATTCACCACGTGGCTTGCTAAATATATTATGTTAGTGGTATATATATATGTTTGTTATATTAACACATTGTCACATACCATGATAATTACAAAAAAAATTGTATAATGAACTTTGGGTCGGTGAAATTGTTCCATTTTTAATCAAAAGTCTTGGATTTGAGTTTTAGGTATGAAAAAAATCATATTTGAAATGCTACACCGCCACTCTCAAATGGGTCTTGATTTTTGCGATGCGTGATCTAAGTTGGAATTTCAATGTGAACACCGAACACGAGTGGACAAAAAAATTGTATTTGTTTACTATTTTTACTATTTAACTTAGATGTGAGTAGTTCTATACCATTTGAAAGGTAAATTGAAATTCGAAGAATGGTTGTTGTCGTCTAGATCTTGATCAATTCATATATCGCTTAGTTAATTTCTCAAATAATTTGTCTAAAAAATGTAGAGGTGAAAATTGTATATATTTTATATTTTTTAAACTTCACTTATGAAACTATAGATAGTATTGTTGTTACCAAAAAATTTACTACTTGTTTTATGTATGTCCAATAAGAAAGTTGTTTACTACTTGTTTATATATGTCCAAAATTCTACACAAACAGACGGCTCCATTCATTTACACTGTGACATGTTGCCATATTTATACTTATAAATTTGAGGAAATAAGATCTCTTGTTCTTTTACGATTAAAATAATTTGTGTGTAAAAATAAAAATTTCTACTGTAAAAATACACAAAACTAAAAAAAAAGTTTGCAATGCCTTAATTCTTCTTTTTTGTCAATTAATCATTTACCAAAGGAAGAAATTAAAGAAATACTTATTAATGTAGCTTTCTTCTTCTGCAAAATAAAATACAAAAAGATAGAATAATCATCCTTTTACCACATTTTGAAGGAAAAAAATATAATTTTCTCAAATATAACCTTTCTCCCGCTTTTCCCGGGACAAAATTCATCATAACTTTGTATTAAAAGGAAAATGAAAAAAACAATTTAAAAAAAAATACGGTCAAATTCCAAGAAGGGTTCCTTCACTTTAGTGAATCAAACTTCCAAAAAGTAAAAGAAAATCCGAAGGCCTAAGAAGAGAGGACCAAAGTTAAATCTTAAAAAGGATAACTTAGTCATCTTTAGTTAACGTTACAGACACGCCTCGAATACTTAACAATGTTCAAAGTACAAAGAAAATTACTCCTATTATAAAGTTGATTAAAAAGAAAAACATTTCTCTGTAAAATATTAGATAGTACCACCTGACAGTTTTTTTTTTGTAACTAATGATCTTCTATGTTCAAAATCAATCATTAGATTGATTCAAATTTCAAAATTGTACCCCGAGAAAAATATTAAAAATATAGTCTTCCGTTTCAAATTATTTATCATCTTAATTTTTCAAGGCAGATTAATTTTTTTTTGTTTTCATTTATCCTTAGTATTTCCTTGGGATTATATTATTTGTCGTGTTTTATTTTGTACACCTTTCTTAAAAAATATTAACTAGAGGATACTAGCTCCTATTAATTCAATACTTTTTTTTTGCACCATATTAATATATTTTCATATTTCTGACCAATAAAGCATCCATACTAATTATACCTTGATTTTTTAAAGTGACAACTATTTTGGATCGTCTATTTTTAGTAAAAATAACAAGTAAAATGGATCGGAGGGAGTAGTAATTGTTCTTGAAAAATACGAACACTTAAGTATGGAGTAATATTTAATGAAGAACATAAGATTATATTTTAGGCCATAAATAAAGGTAAAATAATCAACGAAAGAAACTTCTAGTTAATGTTTTCTTAAAGCACATGTAAAAAAAAAAACGATAGATACCTTGAGATAAAGAGAGTACTTTATTATAATCATAAGGCATTCATTTTCATTTCATCACTTACTATAGTCTATCCATTTTATTTTCTGAATTGAGACACAATCATTAATTTAGTTAATGATTTTTCCTTTTCTGTTTCCTGTCGTATACTCTCTTTTTTGTCTTGTCTCAATTCCTCCAACGTGAAGGCCAGAGCAAGAAGAAACAAATAACGAAAATGATGGGATTGTTGATTGTTTGAGCATTTTACATAATTAAATTGGGGTTTTACGTAGGACCAGGATTACTAATAATCCTAACTAGTTGTCTAATCTTGAATTTATACCAAAATATTAATTAATGTAAAGAAAGGCAAAAAGATAGTACATCATTTGAAAGAAGGAAAAAAAAAGGGCAACTAAGTGGGCAGAATTTCCTCTTGGATCTACAAAAAGGATTAGTACTCTTTAATCCTTATGTATTAAAGTTACTTACTAGCTAGTGGGACTGTAACATTTGTTAATAAGTACCACAAATCACGGTTATCGGGCTCAAGAGTACGTTAAACATTATTAAATAAATAAAATGAAATCTCTCGAAAAGTTTAATATTTTATATGAAAGCCAGTTTGTCACATTCTCTTGGAATTAGCACAAGGATACTTGATTTTGACGTCGTCATTTAATTTGTGATATCTGCACGGATACTTGATTTTGACGTCCCCATTAGACTTGTCATGTTTTTGTTATAATAATTTTTATATGTTTACCCGCTTGATGACAACTTCATACATTTGATGATTGAAGTTAGTTTTGATACAATTTAACTTTAGGTACGCAATGTACCGAAGTTCAAAAACACATGATTGGATTTAGTCATTTTTTGTCTCAATTTTAAGTAGAAATACATGAGCTGAACATTTTGTTTAAAGTATGCAATTTCATTTTTAATAAATGGATACAAATTAAACAGCAATATCAAACTAAATTACCCGATGAAATTTTATTATTCTTTAACATGGCAGATCGATTATGAGTTCAAATTTCATCATCGTCATTTGACCCATTAAGAAAAAAACTAAGCATACACATTATTAAAGGGTCATTTGGGTACATATCAATTTTCACATTAGTTTAAAATCATAAAATTCAAAAGTGTTATTTGTTTTCACGCTTTAAAAAATTCCTCAATACACTGCCGTGGAAGTGTTTTAGTTAAGGTTTTAACTCTGTAAATGCATCTTTTCGTTTGAACTTGAAGAATAATAATACTTCCTTTATACCATCGTACGTTCAATTATATTTATGCGCTTGCTTCTCATTCCTTCCTTTACTACAAAGGTTAAGACAGAAAAAACATATTAACTTTTTCTTGAATCTCAGTTTCTTAAATCTCCCGCTTCCACCTACAGTAATAATTTCTTAAATTTCAAAAAGTTATGCTGTTTGTAAATTCTGAACAATCTTGATACTGAAGCTGTAAAATATTCTCATTCGATAACGAAGGGCGCAGCTGGCCTACAAATTACAATCTGTATGTATATAGTATAGTAGTACTCTATTTTAATTTCATGATACATTAAACTTTGATTTTAGCGTTTGATTCGTTTTGAATAAGTGTGCCCACTGCTTAAAAGTCGATCTGCGAAAACTTTAAAATGAAATGATTTCATCTTGCCTTTCTTCCCATGCAAGATTGTCTCGTTGCATGGTAAATTGAAAAAAAAAGAAGGGAGAGAATAATATTGGATTGCAAGGTTGTCATGACTTAGATATGTGCATGGCAATTATTATTATGAATACAAGGACCATCTCAATATTAAGGATATGTTATATGTGTATGCACAGTTAGAGACGGAGTCAAAATTATGAGTTTAAGAGCTCTAAATTTTAGGGTAGAAGATTATTGATAGTGGGGTTTGAATCCACAATACTAGTGTAAAATGTATTTCCATCGCCCTTTTCTTACCACTGAGTTGTCAATCAATTTTATTAGGGGTTCACAAGTTAATATAATCGAAAAAGTCAGTGGATTTGTCCAAACACCTAGCTCCGCCTATGTATGCACTCATGATTACATCATGCTTGTCTTTTTAGCTTTGAACTTGTGATCGTGCAGTGTAGCTCATGCGAATCTAAAAAAGAATAGGGACAGTTTTGGATAGGACCACGTTCTTTGCCCTACCCAATTCCCTTTTTATATTTCATTATAATATACTAGTAAGTATTTATTATTGTTCATACTTGATACTAGTCCTGGACTTGGACGAAAAGAGTGTTTGCGCTATCAAATGTAGGAGTAGTTGAA